GGGCCCAGGCTGGATTTGAACCCACCAGCTCTGGTGTATGTGGCTGGCGCTTTAGCCACTTGAGCCACAGGCGCTGAGCCTGGTTTATGTATTCAAATGGTCAACTGTGCTTTCTGTGAGCCATGAGAATGAATAGGACAGAAAAAGTGAAGGCAGGGAGAACAGCTAGAATGAAGCTCTTGGTATCACAATTTTGAGTTACTCCTTAGTTCTTCGAATTCTCCTTTATTGATTATATGCTTATCATGAGAGTAGAGATGTGACTGAAACAGCTATTACAGCACAGCAAGCAATCAAGAAGTAGAGAATTCATGCTCTACCCCAACCCATAAAGGAAAACGACTGTTTTAATATCCTGAACTCAATTTGCCCTTGATTTCCTGTAGTATCCATATCGGAAGGTGTCTCCTCTTCAGCTGACCTATCTGGGGTCACCAGGAGGCGAGTCAGGAGTGTTACACTTGTTAGATGGTGGTTATTGATCTTTTTTTCATTTCAATCACAGCTCAGAATCATTCTGAACCACCTCTGCCTCCATTCCGTTCAAGAACTAAGTCAAACTTTTATATCTAGAAACCACCAGTAGCAAAATACTGTAGAACTTTTATAAATTGACCACCCAAGGGACTGTGACAAACTGGTGAGCACACAGAGATGGTCACCATAAGGAACTAGGACTACTGTACTGCTATGTACATGTGGTGCATATCCACTCTAATAAAAATTAAGTCAACTTAATGAGGTGGTCAATGTAGGGAGGTGGTCAACTATGGATGTCCTACTGTATAGGGCAGAGGCTAAATCCTTAAATTCTGTAAGTCAGACAGTGTGTTGCTTTATATAAGTGATTCAAATTATGGCCTTTAGAATCAGACAACATTTGGTTTAATTCTAAGCTCTGTCATTTAATGGGTGACTTAAAGATAGTTCTAAACTTTCTTTAATTAAACCAGGGACAAAAATATCTATGCCTCATTGACTGTTCACATGAGTTGATATCTGTAAATCTCTTAGCACAATGCCTGACACACAGAAAGTACTCCAAATTAGTAGCTATTATTATCATTATTATTACTTATTATAGTAAGTCTGTTACTTTTACAAGTACAGGGGAAAAATAGATATTTTCAGGAGATGAAATGTACTTACCTTTAAAAGACATGAACCTGTTAATCACTACACAAAATTAAAATTACCATACTCAGGTGACACCTGTGGCTCAAAAGGGTAGGGCACTGGCCCCATATGTGGAAGGTGGCAGGTTCAAACCCAGCCCCCCCCAAAATTAAACTTACCATACTCTATGTAATCTAGGATCATATCAATCTTTCTGTAATAAATTTAAATTTTAATAATTCTAATTATAAATTCAAAAGTATTTTAGCAAACTATTTCTAATTATGAACTACTATGGAGAACTCAGTTGGATGTTTTTAATCGTTTCAAAACAAAATTCAAACTCACGCGTTGAATATTGGAAGAAAGATTACACAAAATAATATATGACAGTTTTACAAAGGAATACTAGGTATGCTTTTAAAAATTCGCACTTATAATTTTAGCAACACTTGAAAATGTTATGCTACAAGTGAAATAGCAGGATATAAAACAAAAAATAGTTATTTTCAGAACATATGAATACCCAGAAAAAAAGAGTGGAGTAAAATGTGTCAAAAATGAATAATAGTTGATTTAGGTGGTAGAAGTAAATGTGATTTTTTTTTTCCTGTTTATGTTTTTCTCTACTTTTAATTTTTTTTTTTTTTAATGTGCAGACTCTTGCGTAGTAATGAGAAGAAAATGATGAAGTTAACATGTTGTACGAAATGGCAATCTGGTGTCCAAATGCAATGGAGACAATTTGTTAGAACACGTGCTGGTCTCTGTGCAGACACCAAGGAGGTTTGTTGGGAGACACTGATTACTCAGAAACAGGAGTCACATCAAATGGGGTAAAAAAGTCAAAAGCTCTTCAGGTGATTGCACTACTTACCAAAGTTGCGATATGTACCCTGAAAATATTAATATATCAAGAACTTTGTGAAGGCCTTCACCTCTATCAAGCCACAACCTAACACTTATTTATTACTCTCATATAAAGATTTAAGGAAAAAAAAAACATTATAAATATGCCTGTTTTCCTAGGGCATGGTTTCCTACTTGTATTTTTCTATCCACTTTACTGATTGCTATATAAAAACAAATGCCCAAGGACTTTTGTAGTAGAAAGCCCATCTGTTCCAATATAGTCAATGTTCCTCTATTTGAGTGTCAATTAATTGCCTTTAATTAACCACCTTGCATTTGGTAATGGTCCGAAGGGGAAAATTCTTGTGTCTGGGAATCAGATGTCTTTTACAAGGGAGACAGTCTCCTTTAACTACCCATTAGCGTTTTAGCACAGCTATAATAACTATCTCACTCAGCCTTCCAAGGTTCTAAAAGCATTGATGAGGAGGATTAAACATGCACCAGGCAAGCAACTTGGTCTATTGGCATTCCGGGTGTCAGTATCCTTCAACAGAATGGTTTTGATGGATAGAGGTTTTAGGATCTAGTTATTTCTCACTTCAAAGAATAATTTCGTTTCAAATTATTATATATAACCACAGTGCATTTAAGTGATTTAACAATATTTAATTTCTTACTTGAAATCTTAAGAGATAAGCCTCTTTGAAAGAAATAATTGTTAGCAGGGCATATAAGTAGAGGCTTGGTCTGTAGTAATACTGAAGATCATGACTTGTGTTATTACACACAACAGGCAAAAGACTCTTTAAGAATAACTGTTGCCACGTTGGGCAAAATTTGAGTTTTTCATTAGAGTAAAATCATGTTTGGTATTTCAAAAAGTTTACATGCAAAGAATAATTAATCATATTCATCCATGGGCAAACATACTTAAACCATGATATTAAAAAATTATATTCATCTATATGCAAACATACTTAAGCCATGATATAAAAATGAATCATATTCATCCATGTGCAAACATACTTAAACCGTGATACTAAAACCATGATATTACATGTGAAACAAAATAGCAAAACAGGAATGTTTTTGCTGCCAAGAATTTTAGGTGGTAAGTTTGTTTATTCAGTAACATTATCATAAAATAGAAATATTACATTCACAAAAGTGGAATTAAGGAGCATAAAATATCATTTTAAAACAGGAAAACCATGGGATCACTTTCAAGGGTCCCATAGAAAGCCTTTAATCTGCAATTTTATACTTTCACGTTTAATAGGATTAATATGTGGTTTTTCAGTGACAAAAAGCAATCATGATACCTGAGTATTACGTACATTCACTGCACACAACAGACACGATTATAATGTACCATCCTAATTATCTAAGCAATGTTTCAGCTCCTTTAATGCCCTGTTTAAATGGCTTTAAAACATGTACAAAGCAAATAGTTACATATATGTAAGGATGAAATTTTCTGGTATTCAATTATCCAAATACATATTTACTTATTAAATTAGAACACTAACTGCTTAATATGTAAAATTAGTTTGAAATCATGACACTTAATTAAATATGCACTTCAAAATCGCTCATGAGACTTCTCAACTTCAAAAATGACTTTAAAATACTAGCTTGGGGGTGAATCACCAATACATTCAGAAACATAGCTAAAACAAAGAGTTCTATTCCAAAGACGGAATTTAGAATATACATCAACTATTTTTGTACATTATATTAATAAAGTGGTTCTTTGTTCAGAATCTCAAACATAAATGATATTAACAATATGCATGCATGAGACGTAATAAAAATTGGCACTTCAGGGAAATTATTGCTTAGCCTAAAGGAAAAATGTTACAGCTGGATTCCTGCCTGGGGCTGAAATTGTGGTCTTGCATTCATAAAATAGGTTTTGGGCTTCCCCAGCTTTTGGTGAGACTTCAGAACCTTTTGTGTTTTCCGTGAAGCTATTTCACACAGGCTCTAAAATTTGAGAGGACAGTTAACAAAATAAAATTCCCTCTTGGCAGGTAAAACGTATTAATTCTAATGTTACATAAATAGAACAAATCTGATTCCTTCATTGAGCAAGTGCTATATTTTGAAGCATCCAACTCAAATTAAATTCAGCTCTGTGGCAAACAATTCATTTTCTCATTAGGCAATCAATGCTACCTTCAATAAGGCAATTCCCATTTAGCCTTTGGCCATCACAGTTGTCTTTAAAACAAAGTTCTCAACCTGTGGTTTATGTAAAAAGATATGATTTCTTTAGCAGATGGTTAAGAAAATTTGCAATAGAAATACATGTTAAAAGAGTACATGACTTTTTTTGCAGTTTTTGGCTGGGGCTGTGTTTGAACCCGCCACCTCCAGCATATGGGGCCAGTGCCCTACCACTTTGAGCCAAAGGCACCATCCCAAGAGTATGTGAATTTTTAAGATAATTGAGTTTTCTCCTCTTATATTCAGTGATCTAAGAAGCTGAAATTTAAATGGAAAAATAAATCTGTGAAGTCAAAGGTATAAAATTCTGCAATGCTTCTTAGATTCTTCCTTCTCAGTTCCAGAACGGAAAGGGATTGAATGTAACAGATTATTGCTGTTTCTTAAAGAAAGGTACCTTCAAAAGTACTTAGACTTTTGAAACTCTTTACCATGTGGATCAAGGCTCAACCTTTCCTGCTCAAGAAAAGGGGAAATTGCTTGATATATGCAGGTTAATAAAAGCATTTTTAGCTCAGAAAATCTTTCATTTTTATAAAAAAAAAAGCTTTCCATTTGAAACATCATTACTTAATAAACACAATAAAAATACGATCAATAAATGCCTTTACAAGTTCAAGTGAAAGCCGCCGCCTTCTCCCTGTGGGAACACAGCTTTCAGTCATCCTTTTTGGCTGAGGTGCTCTCTTCATGCTTTTCAGGACTGACTTTATTACTTGCAATGGAAGGAGCTGTCTGGACTTCTTTTGGTAGTGAAAACACATGGCAGGTCTGAAGGTCTAAGTACGTTGTAAATATCTTCGCATATTCTGGATGCTTCAGGGCAAATGTTTTAAATTCCTCTGGAAAAGGAGAAAAAAAAATCCAATAAAGTGGGGTGACTCTTCTTTTGACATGATGCAGATTAACAAATGACGCTAATAACAGAATTATTTCAAAGTTCCACTACTCGTAAACATGGTTGATGGGAATATAAATTTTACAAGCACCTTGGAAGACGGGTATTCTATAATCTAGTTGAGTTAAAGATATGGACACCTTAGGACCCATTAATTCTATTCTGAAGTATGCGACCTAGAGAAATTTGTGCATCCTGTTCTGAGAGACAAGTATGAGAATGTTCACAGCAACATTGTCCAAATAGGTTACAAACGAAAACAATTCAAATGTCTATCAACGGTAGAAACAGATACATAAAGTGTGGCACAGTCATGAAACGTAATTGTTTTGTGGTATATTTCAGGGATCCGTGGATGAAGGCTTACTAAGTTACTAGCATATACAGCAATGAAAATAAACAGCCATGTAGTAACAATGTGAACCTTAAAGCTCTGAGGTTGAATGAAAAAAGCCAGACACAGAGCACATATTGTCTGAATCTGTTTATATAATATTCAAAAACTTGATAAAACGAAAATATAGAAAGAGGCACACATTTGTGGTAAAATGCTGAGTAAGGCAGGATAGAGTCCCCTCCTTTAAGAGAGAGGAAGGGGGTGTGGCTGGGAAGGGGTTTCCCTGGGGTTTCTGGGGTCTGGAAAAGCTCTGCTTCTTGGTAGGCACACCAGTGTTCACTTGATAAAATTTCATCATGCTCTGTATTCATGCTTTAATCAGTTTTCTGTCTTTGTGTTATTTTTGCTAATAAAAATGTTTAAAAATTTTTATTACCCAGGACTTTCTGTTACTGGCTGTTAAAACTATTTTAGCCCTTAACTGTTATAGAAAAATGCAGTCTTGAAAAGCTGAGCCCTGACTTACAATCAGTAATGGCTAGGAAAGTGTACATGGTATAAAATGTTACAAGACATCTGAGTAGAGGACTTCTTTTTATCTCAAGTGTTTTAAGATTTAGGAACTGAGATAAAGGTCTATTTCAGGGATATGTGTATGAAGGCTTACTAAGTTACTATCAGGATTTGAATCTCAACAGTCCAATAACCTTGAGTTACTGAAATACGACGACACTGAGCACAACTTTGAAACTTCTTTATTCTCTTCTTTTAGGGTAGAGAAACCATCAATGAGCTTATTAGAATGAGGGGAAACCTGGTCTTTGAATCAGCTTCCTTTCTGGCTTTATATCAAAAGGATTTTAACTTGATATCCTATTCCTACCCATTTATTTTTCAATAGCCCTCTGTAAAAAGCCCAGTCGTCTGTTCCATGACACACTAGACTACCTAACAACTCTGGAAGATAAAAATAGGTCTTAGTGACGAGGAAGTCAACAGACTGAGTCCAAACCACTCTTTGCAACTATAACATTAATTTGCATTAATAGATCACTTTATATTTCCAAAGCAGGTAATAGTAATTAATTGTTCTTTCTTAACGTCCAAAATAAAGGTTTATTTGCATGAGTCCATTTCAACAATGAAGACACAGAGGACTTAAGTGACTTCTAAGGTAAGTAAGCATGACAGCTCATCTGAAATCAAGAACTTTAATTTCAAGACCTACGCTCTGTTCAGAAAATCAAGATCCTCTGTTGGAACGTCAGTGGCAATGAAGAGTAGATTCTCATTTCTAGAATTGCTATGATTGGCTCTAAGTAGGATTCGAGCACTAATTTGGTTGATGGGAAGCCAAGAATGAAAACAATTTAAAGGATCACAGTTAAATAATTTAAATGGTCATTCATGACATAGGTCAAGACCTTTTTTTTTTTTTTTAACAGAATTGTACTTAAATACCTCAAACATTCCTGCAAGAGAAGCAGGCTTGCATAATATTGGGGAAGGGGAGAGAGTCGATGTATTCTGAAAATAAAAAGGTTAAACTCTAAAAACCAAACATTTCCTTAAAAAGTTATTTATATTAGGCCAGGAGCGGTGGCTCTCACTCTGGGAGGCCGAGGTGAGTGGGTTGCTTGAGTTCATGAGTTCGAGACCAGCCTGAGCAAAAAGTGAGATGCTGTCTTTACTAAAAAGAGAAAAATTCAGGCAAGAGGATTGCTTGAGCCTGAGTTGGAGGTTGTTGTGAGCTATGACATCATGGCACTCTACCCAGGGCAATAGTTTGAGACTCTGTCACTCAAAAAAAAAAAAAAAGTTATTTAGATTGACAGGTAAAATTATAGTGACCCACAAGTCATTTTTAGTATTAGCTTCCATTGAAATAATTATTCCAAATAGTTATTTAAAATCTGTTAATTCAGAGTAACAGTCTTACTTATAGAAGGGAAATGGTCAGAGAAGAACCAGAGTTTATGACTGGTAAGTTTCATCTCCGTCTACAGTATATACTTTTCCCACTTTATCCTTTCTATTTCTTTTTTTTAATGAACTCAAGTAGATTAAGTGCCCCAGGCATTTAATTACCTAAAATAAAACACAGGGCAGCCAAAATGACAGTAATTAAAAACAGAGAGTAATGGAAGTATCTGATCTTCTCTCCCCATCCTATGAAAGTTAACAAGCGGAAACTCTCTGAACACTGTAAGGAAAAAGTAATTAAAGCGGAATCCCCCTCCAGCCTGAGAGGAAAGACTTGGAAAGATAAGCCAGCCTGATACCTGTGACCACAGCAAACCGAGGGCAGGGAAACAACCATCTAAGCCTCTCCACGGAGGTGTGTTTCTCAAAGATTGCCCTGTAATATATATGCAAAAACATAGAACATTCTTTGCCCCTGGAGCTTGTTTTGCTGTGTAGACTTGAGCCATCAGGAGGAAAGATAGTCACTGATGGATGGACTGCCACTTCGGGTCTTCCTCCACGACAGTCCCTAACTCACAGGGGTTGCTTTCAAGATGAGTGACACAGTGAAGATGAAAGCTTACATAAACTGCTAACTGTAAACATCAGTAAATGGCTTAGTGACTAGAATCATCATTGTTATCTAGTCCATATCTCTCTACTGTATTTACAATACAGCTCGGCTAACCTGCTCGGGTTTGCCTGGCCATGCAAAGGAAAAGGCCCTTGAGGAGGGGCTGCAGATATGAGGAGCACCAAGGGACAGAGTCAAGGGTGCAGGCTGTAAAGGCAGACTGTCTTGGTTTCTGAACCCTGGCTCTGATGCTTTTTAGCTGGATGCGCTTAGATAAGTTACTTGAATTTTTTGTACCTCAGTAAAATAAGAATAATTAAGAATACTGATTATAGCTTGGCACCTATAACTCAGTGGCTAGGGTGCCAGCCATATACACTGGGACTAGAGAGTTCAAACCTGGCCTGGGCCTGCCAAAAAACAATGACAACAACAACAGAAAAATAGCCAGGCATTGTGGTAGGCGCCTGTGGTCCCAGCTACTTGGGAGGCTGAAGCAAGAGAATTGCTTAAGCCCAAGAGTTTGAGGTTGCTGTGAGCTATGATGCCACAGTACTCTACTGAGGGCAATATAGTGAGACTCTGTCTCAAATATATATATATCATTAGGGCATGTGTGGTGGCTTATACCTGTCATCCCAGCACTTTGGGAGGCCCAAGTGGGAGGATTACTTGAGGCCTGGAATTTGAGACCAACCTGGGCAACATAGTGAGACCCTTGTCTCTACATCCCTCCCCCAAAAAGGAATGCTATAAGGATTAAGTGGGTTAATATAAACAAAGATAGAAGAATGTCTAGCATATAAGTCCTCGATAATTAGACCTACTATTATTACTGCCATCAACATTATTACTATTATTTCTATTATTAATATAATTAATTAAGGGTCACAACACTCTTGCGTGTCAACACGTAGTCTGGATGTCCTCCTTGCAAAGTGAATCAGGAGGCCAAATCACCCACTCACCATAGGAAATAGAGTCCCCTTGGGCTATTTCCTTGAAGAGACCAGAAACATCGAGGTCAGGCACTCCAAGGGAAGCCTGGAGAATGGTGGAAAATTCTTCCTCAGTTATGTAGCCATCCTCATCAACATCAAAGAGCTGAGGGAAAAAGAAAATAAAATGTAAGAATTGGCTCCCTCAGAACAAACAGTGCTGCGAAATCATCTTAGAAAAAGAACTCTTTAATAACATTTGAAACATTGAAACATTCATTGTGGCAGGGGTTAGGAATATGGGTATGAAGAGAGCAGGGTCTCTGTGTACGCCCATAACACCACAGCCTGGTGGTGGAAAGAGGCAGAACGAAAGTAGGGGCGGCATCAACAGTGAGTAGCAGGAAGGGACATGGAAGTCCCGTGCGCAGCCCGAGGAACCCTACCCAGAGAGGGCAGAGAAGGCTTCACAGGAGTTGATGTTTGACTTGGGTCTTAGGAGATGAAGAGATGTTACCAGAATATATAAGGATTGGCAGGCAATCGCCTGGTGTTCCAGTTGTAAGACAGAGACAAACAGGAATCAGAATTCCTCACCTAATCCTGCAGGATTCTCCTGTAGGTTGGGTGGTGTGAACATATGTGAACTGTGAGAACCTTTGAGGCAGGGCGTGGAGGCTAAACTGGGGGCAAGGGCTTGGTAAGACCAAAGGCGGGAAAACCAAGTAAGAATCTGGGGTAGGGAAATCAGAAGAATAGCAAGGGACAGGATTCATTAATACACAACTTGCATGTCAGTAAGAGGTCTGCAGTGAAGAAGTAAAGATGGCTGACATTTTCCAGCTTGGGCAACTGGGAGAAAGCTGGTTACACTAACCAAGAGTGGGCCAACAGTCAAAAGAGTGAGTGCCAAATGAGATCAAGAGTTGGACCTGGAGAGGACACACGCGAGTTAGAGGTGCCAGTAAGAGATTCAGCACATCAGTTTAGGAGATTGATGAGGCTTGAGACAGGAATTCAGGTAAGAACTGAAAGTACGTGTGTGTTTGGGCTTACCTGGAGAGAACGAAGCAGAGGCCGGGGGGCAGCGCAGTCGAGGGGTGAGGAGGGAAGAGGGACTGACAGAAAAGACGTAGAAGGAGAAGTTGGATAGGAGAACGGGAGAGAAAAGCAAGCATCTTGAAGTTAAGGAAGGGTTTTCAGGAATGAGGAAGAGATTGTGACAGTGTAACGGCTGACCGAGTAAAATACCATAGAAAAGCCTCGCAAAAAGCCAAAAGATTTACTGGATTTAATAACTAGGAGATCCCGATGACTTAGTAAACATGGTTTCAGGGAAGCAGAAGCCAGACGGTAACGGGAATCAAGGGATAAACCAAAGTGAGAGCAAGAGGTGTGAACTCTTCTTTTAAGAAGTGATGGAATA